TGCATGTTTTCTGTGGTATTGGGGGTAGTTCTAGCTAAAAACGATAGTTTTTCTTGTACCCCTTTGGTGTAACAGGAGTACACGTTTTGTGGTGATGTTTTCGCGATCTTGCCAAGTTTTTTCAGTATTTTATTGTTCTTCTGAGTTTCTCAGAAAGTTTTACATTCAGTCTCGGATCCTATGACAGAACCAATTACTCTGGCCCCTTTCTTCATTTCAATTTGGGTATTTCCCTCCTCATCGGACATTATATGAGAAGGAACGGTATCGTCAGATTATCAAGAAAATTTAGAAATAATATGCAACAAATTTTGTAAAGATTTCATTGCCAAAGAACAAGAAGTGGATGCTGTCTCGGCAGAACATTTAAGGGGTATGATTAAAGCTGCTTTTTATAAAGCTGCTCCTAGTTGTGTTCTCGCTGCTGTTTGCAAAGCACAGCTTCGCCTCTGTGTAAAATTTACGTAATTTAGTATGTAATTTAAAGTCTTTGATTTTGATTGGTTAATGGTGTTTATTTTACATGTTTGTCACTTTTTCATAATTTTTGATGTCTTTTCTCATATTCCTATTTTTTCAAGTTTTTTCAAGATCTGAATAGAAGGTTGATGTACAAGATTGTTAGTGGATTTACTGTAATTCTTTGTAAATCACCGGAAAATCTAGTTTTGATTTTGGTTTGCTGTGTCTGTTGGCTATAGCGTATTGTGATTCAAATGTTTGAATCGCCTTTCAGCTTATTTTTTTTTGACAAAATGATCGTGACAAAAAGCCGCATCAGGGTTACAGAGGATTGATATGGGTGTGCCAAGTTTTTCTCAGAGGCAATTGGTTATATCAAAATGTTTCCCAAATGACGTTTAGACCGTCAGTTAGATTTGGCGCCATCACGAGTTATAATGAAGGGAGGCTTAGCCGGGCTTGGATGTAAAATTTTTGATTCAATGTTTCTGAAAAAGTTCCAGAAAATACCAAAGCATTCAAAGGATCATTTGGACTTCTCTCTCCACATTTCAATTTTTCGAATTGTTTTTTTTTTGCATGAAGTACAAGTGCCTTGCGAGTGGCTGATTTGTTCACCATGCAAATTATCATTGCCTTGTGACAGCTTTATGTTAGTTCAAAATCAAACATAGAGAGATAGGATGAAAAAAGTTTCATGTAATTGTTACTATTGCTGAATAGTATCTTTTGGTGTAGTCCAGAGTACGGAACTAGTCAGTCTACTCTCGAGACGAATCTCATAGCTTTACAAGTTTTGGCTTCATTTTTTGAGCCGAACCCTCCGAAAGCTGTTGACAGTGAACTGGACATTTGTTCTTGGCAATTTGCATGTCATTGCAGCACCTGCCGCCAAGACAATCCATACCATCATCATTGACTTCATATCGGGCTCACGCTCTTCAGACTTCTGATTGTAAAGCTATAATAATAATAGCATGAGCTCAAATTTTAAAAGATGTTTCACCTGCGACCGTATTTCAGAAAGTAATAGGTATTGGACAATTGCCAAAATGGAATAATTTACGCGCAATATAGTTTTGTTCGAGTGGAAATGGCGAACTAAATTATTCTTTTGAATTGAGGCTTGCAATTTGAATTAGTATTAAGTTATCAGACGCAAAATATATCAGTTAGTTTTATTACATAGCGCATGTGGCATGGAATGAAGAGCATATTCTCTTTTTCATTTTTACTAACATTTTAACCCATGCGATAAGCAAGGGTATTGCAGTCGGGTACTTTTTTCAGTAAATAACTCCAGTGGGCTCTGGTGGTACCTTGGTTCATTGTGAATTCAAATTTAGTCGTGTCTCGAACACACTTAGCATGGTGGTAAAGAATTTGCCTGGAACGGCAAAGGTCCTGGATTCGAATCTGACCAGGAACTGTGTTTTTCAAAGGGTAAATATTTCGGTTCAAAAACACTTCGATCTATATCTTGTCATCTTGTTTTGTCGGCTTAGTTGACACATCTAAGAATCGTTTATTTTAGCTGTGAAGAATTTTCACTGCAGTTGTTTTTAGCGTTTCAAATATCCGGCAGAATCTTATTTTGTTTTTCACATTGGTTGTAATTTAAGCAGCCCGATTTAATAAAGTTGCACATTTTCTTTTTTTTTGTTTTTGCACTTTTTCATTTTTTCTCTTTTTTGTCCGCCGAATAATTTTCGACTTAATTAATATCGACTTAGTGGCCTGTTATTGCGTCGTTACGATCGAAAAAGTTTTTGTGCGAGTGTTTGTGCTCTTAGGGGAAAGGGACTTTTTAAAGAAATATTTTTGATAAGTTGAATTTTTTTTCGGCATGAAGGGTTTCTGCTCGGGTATTTTCAACTTCGTGACCGCTTGGTAATTATAAGTTCAATTACAACCATCCGACTCTTTTTGCGTAGAGTTAAAACAGCAGCCTGGGATGGCAAAACTTGCGGTTCGAATCCGCGCGGGCGCTTTGCAAACTAAAGTTCATTTTTGTCGGCTTAGTTCCTGCAGCTCGATGGTTCAGCTTTATTCCAAATTATCGTAACCTTCATACTTTAGAAGACAAATCCTGGGAGTTCGATTCCAGTTGAGACGTGTTTTTTTTTGCAAATTCTCACTTTTTTCCGGATATTTTGGGCAAGTGTGCGAGGAAGCTCAGCTTGGCCTCTGTGTAATAATTTCATTTTTCATATACATGTTAGAGGTTAGAAGGCTATCGGATTAGATGGCTATCGGATCGGCGACGTTAGAGGGCTATCGGATTATTCGTGGAGCGATATTCACATTAGTGTGGATTTGCTGATATTCTGAAAAGATATTGCCATCAATTTGGCATTAACTGTAAAACTGTTTGCAGACAATTCCTTATACGTTTTCATGACTTGGTGTTGAGGTTTGACTCGCAATGTTTAAGCAATTATCAATCTTTCTCTCTGAAAACGAGGCCAAAAGTTTGAGCAGCTTTAATAGCAAGCTGAATTTTTCTTAGCAGAAACTACGTGTGGGAAATTTCAAAAAAAAACTTCGGCATCGGGCATTGATTGAGGATGCTCTCAGTTGACCCTGAGTGTAAGTTCGACGACACTGGGTGCAGAGTTTCCGAATACAGAGCCACAATAAGAACGCCTGCCATTTGAAACGAGTTGAAACAAAATATTTGTTAAGCAGAATGTTGCTCTCAAGGGAATAAATTGAAATGAGAAAACGGCAGATAATAATTACATGACAAAACTGAAATAGTTGGAAATAAACCACACAGGTGATTTCAAAGCAGTTAACTTTTTACATTTGCCGCCTGCATGTTTTCAATCCAAGACATCACATCTCCAATCTTTGTATAGAAACCGCCTCAACTCCTGCATGAGAAGAATTGGCCCGCAGAAAAATGAAATACGACCCCACGGCGCTAAACAACTCAACAAAACACAAGACAAGAGTTAACAAAATTTCTCTTTAAAATTTTTTTCTCAATCCTTGCCCGAAGCCTGTTTTGAGCAGGGATCGAGGCTACCACAGCGGCGATGAACTTTTGTCATATACAGTCTTTCTTTCTTGTTTTTTGTCTAGTGGTAGTTTGTTATCGAGCCGTTATGTTATTAATAAGGACTACCGGCTATCAGTGTGTATTATTGTTAGAAATGTTTCAAGCGGTTAGGCATATCTTTCACTGAGGGATGCTTGGGTCAGACCTATTCCTCTAGAATCTATCTCATCGATTGGAGCAAGTCAGAGCATGATTAGAATAAATTTTTCTCTTTCTATCTGATCAGTTGGCTTACAGCTCGGTTAAATCTCTCTAATGGTTGGTAGAGTTAATTATCAATATTTTAATTGTTTAAGTAAATATAAGTTTGATCTCCAGTTTAATGTTAAGGTGAATTACATAAAGATATCTATCAAATTGGCGAATATCAAAAACATGGCGTCCTGCAAGGACGTCACATTAATGTTTCCTGTTTTTAAGAGGCCATTAGTTTTTGACCTTCATTTGTTATGAGCTTCTTCGTTTGTTAGGAGTTAAATGTTGTCAACCGAACTCACTGCAGAGGAAAGCGACGTTGTTTTATGTGTAATCAGACTTAATTGTTCCGACAACTCTCGAAGAGTGGGAATGAACTTTGAATTCAGGTCGTTTTTGTCCAAAATTTTTTGATTACTGAAGGGTAGTGGTACCATATTAAAGAGTTTTTGGTCGTGATTTGGATTTTGAAAAGAAAAGTTGAAAAGGTTCTCTTACAGAAATTAGTCGGAAAGTGTTCGGTTTTCAGACAAAATAAGAGAAAAGTGACGAGAGGCTGACCTCCCACTACAATTTTACTTCTGTTTTTTTTTAAACTTTGCTATCCTTTTATTAAACTTTGTTATCCTTTTTTTGCTATCCTTTTTTAACTTTGCTATCCTTTTTTAATTTTGTTATCCTTTTCTTTAGCAAACAAAACTAAAAAAAGTGTTGTGAAAAATGTTTAAGTGAGAAAGTTATGTATGTGTAAGAGTAATGAATGTAGTGATTACTCTTAATAGGTCTTGCTGATTTTTTTGTTTTGTTTTCAGGGAAAAGTCAGTCCTTAAATTAGTTCGCGCGCATTTTTCGTGGTTTGACGTGTGATTACTTTTTAAAATTCTGTGCATTTTTATTGTTAAAAGGAAGGAAAACTCCACTATCGAACAGCAATAGTTATTTTTATTGTTAAAAGGAAGGCAAACTCCACTATCGAACAGCAGTAGTTTAAAGGTCACGAAAAACGTAATGGACTTCTAATTTCGAAAATGGAAATTAATTATCAGATTTCCCAGCGAAATAAAAGTTTTAGCTATTGATCCGTTTTTCTCAAATTGGGTTAATTTTATTAAAAAAGTATCTATCATAAATTGATTTCCAAATTCAAAGAGCTTCAATGCCATCTATTTTTTTCTTCGACATTCAAAAGTTGAAGATTCTTGAAAAAACAAGAAGGATTTTTCAGTTTCCTTGCGTTCATTACTCTTCTCCAACTGTCAGTTGGCTATGTTTTGTATAGGCGGTAGTCTGCTAGTATCGCTGGTCCAAACAGGTCAGACTTTTGTGGGGATACACCAGACTATGAAACAGTACAAATTTGAAAGAGAGCAATTCGAGCATCAGAAGCAATGGGAAAATTCCACTTTCAATCAATACTATCAATATCAAGACCAGCAACAACAACAACAGGTAGTGTTATCATAGATTTAAAGTAAGAAGTTCTGCTTTTCATGCCACCTCCCTTTTGCCACCTATGATTTTTATAATTCATATTTGTTGATGCTCATGTAAAAACAATCATTGTGAAATCTCTATTGAACACGCTTTCGATCAATACAGATCCATAGTTATTGGATAAAATCTTGGAGTTTTGCACAGAGAAAAAAGAAGGAGCATTTGACACTAAAAATTGAACTCAACCATTTTTGACAACACAAAATTTCACTTTTATACCGAATCTGAGCAAAGTTAATTTACACAAAAATCTCATTTTGACGACTGAAATCAAATTTTTTTTCCATTTCAACCGTTAAACGTGTAAAAAATCATATAAAAATCTAAATACCCTATATCAACCATTTTTTGACTATTAAAGTTGTTCAAGGTCACCGATATTGCCAATAATTTGGCTTAAGTTATAATTTTAGTCTTGTTTCAAAAACTATGCGACGCTTTCCTGAAATAGGTCAATTTGCTTTTTTGATTAATTCTGTACGCTCGAAATTTTTGCTATAGAGAGTGACAAAAAGTTCGGACAGACTGAGTTAATTTAAAATCAGCAAATTACTCGAGTTCGTTTTAAACTCAAGCTTGCATTAACATTTCTTCTCAATTATTGATTAATTCTGTTCTACCAAACTTTTGCTACTAATTATTCTTATGATAGGGAGTTAAGAAAAGTTGGATCAGAGATTTGATTAAGTTGAGCGATGCACCAACTTCAACACATTTTGCAAGAAAGGGTCGCCTGAAAATTAGAACTGTCTTCAATTCTGTCTAAAAACTAGCTTTTGCATGCAACGTTGTTCAGACTCTTTTATAGGTCGTGGTGACTTTTTTTGTTTTTCAGGAAAAAGTCTAAATTTGCTCATGCACAATTTTTTTCTTGCTCGATTTTTGATTTATTTCTAAGTTCAGTTCATTTTCTTTTTTGAAAAGAACGCAAACTCAACTATGGAACATTAGAAGTGTTAAGGTCGCCAAAAGCATGAGCGACTTCTAGTTTCGAAAGTGGAATTTAATTTTCAGATTTCCAAGTGAAATAAAATTGTTTTATTGATCCAGTTTTCTCAAATTGGGTTTATTTTATCAGAAAAATGTCAGTCATAAATTGTTCTAGCAATTCAAATTGTTTGAAGGCCATCAGTTTTTTTTTGAAATTCGAAAGTTCAGATTTGTCCAAAAACTAAGTCAGTATTTTTTCTGTTCACTTGGGTTCATTGACTATTCCAACTGAATGTTGGCTATGTTCTGCATAGCCTGTATAACCGCTGTTAAAAGAATAAAACAGATCTTTGCATGAATTGCGATAATGATCCCTTGTGATGTTGTAGTTCATTGGTTTAGCTGATTGATGTTGGTATTTGAAAACGGAGAATTCGGAAATACTCGTTTCAGAATGCCAACTATGTTGATAGACGTGATGCAGGAGATAGTCCCTCTGAGAAGTTGCCTACTATCGGCGAAACGGACTTCATCTCTCTGGGAATGGGGATAGCTGGAACAGGCTTGAATGAAAACGGAATTGAGAAGCTGGGAGATCTGGTTGGTCATTACCAATGTCAAGTGAAAAAACATTTTTAAATTGAGAATTGGATTAGGGCACCAAGTTTTTATAATGAATTTCGGTGAAAGTATGATAGTAGGGTCCCTAAAATTTAGATGGGTCGCTGAAGAAAAAAAATAAGCCTTAAAATCTTCGAAAACATGTTTCACATTTCTTTTGCTTGTGTTTTTGTATAGCTCTTTACAAATTTGGAAAACGTCCCATTTTTTTCAAAATAGTTTGGACCTTCAAGCTGGAACTAATTATGTTATCGGGATGTTATCGGGATCTAGACTTTTTCAAAATAGCTCTTTGAATTTTCGCGTTTCCTATTTTTACTCTGAAAAATTGCATGGCAGATCATTGTTGAATTAGATTATTTTCCAATTTTGAAGTTATTCAAAAAGACGTGTCTGAAAAAGCGCAATCAGTTTAGATTGCTCTTTTGGCTGTTCATGTTTAAAGTTTTAAAAACTCTTGCATTTTGTGTCATTTCACCGTTTCAAGGTCACAGTTGTTTCAGAGTAAATCCCATAGATTTTTAAAAAACTAGCTTTTGAATTTTAGCCATGTTTGACGAAAGAGTCTATCTTATAAATATACGAATCCAAAATTACAGAAAAAATTTTGTTTAGACTAAGTTTCACAGAAATAATAATAATTATAATAATTGTAGTTCCTGCGAATCGCAGAGGAGCTATCAGTAGGCCTTAACAGTCCTGTCGAGGATAGTCCATTTCTATTATCTCCCCACATTCCAGACTGTGTTATTTTGTTGAGCGAAGCTCTTTTTTGCGACTCAAGGCCGTTTTTGTGCGTCTAGAACTTTCACGTGGTACCACTTTTGCAGCCAAATTTGGTCAGGTTGTGGTAGACCTGAAGCTAGAGGTCAAGTGAGAGCTCGTCCTCACACACTATCATTGCAATGGCATGGGATCGATTACACGATCTGACGATTCTAAAGTGAACGCCTTACCACTATGCTAAGTGCCCCCAAATAATCTTAAATTGATTTAGGTGTATGTCCTTGAAGAGGGCGAAGTTGTGGAACCAGACGCAAATGGTCAAATACACCTGGAACCCAGAGAAGGAACATCAGAAGCACTCAAATTGCACCTACAAAAGGACACTTCGGCAAATAACGGGGGGCTTGATCTGCCAAGGAAACCGAACAATAAACAACTGCAAAAAGACGACGCTGAAGATTCAAGCGAGTCATCAAGAGCAACTGAACTTTTCAAGTCTGCTGGATTATTTAACTTAATAATAAATTTAATGATTTTATTGCCTAAGAGGCTGTTATTGAATTCTAGTTTTTAATTATGGATTACATGAACTTCGATAATTGAAAGAATTTAATTTAATAATATTACTATGTGTTTAATTTAAATATTTGAGTTATAATTTGAAACTTTCAGTGACCTTTTTGAGTGGATCGAAAAGCTGTCTGACCAAGCTTTTGTTACGATGTCTAAAATTCCCAAAAATGGTCTGCGATGGAGCATTACAAGTATTGTTGACGTTTTTTTGGCGTTAACGAACAAAGTGAATTTTCATTTGATGTGGGTTCGTTACAATGTGATCAAGCTTAGTCCTATGTTTTATTTGTTAGCATAAAATTTTATTTTATCGACTTGGAAATGAATTATTACTGACATAATTCGAGTGATTTATCCTCTTTCTTCAGGAGAAAGTCTTGAAAGCTGTTCACGCTGTGTTATATTTTTGCGGTTTCACCTATCGAAAAAAAAGCATTGACTGGTTTCGAGGGTAGATTTTAACACAACAGAACTAGCAAGCAGTGTTTTAAGTGAGCAATGTTTTAATTGAAATTTTTCCAAATCCAGTATTCCCAGCCAAAATCGCCTTGACTAAGTGTTAGCATCTGTTCTCTGCCTTATTGGTGACTAGTTTTTGTGGTTTTTCGAGCACGGAAAAGTCTTAAAATTTATTCACGCTCAATTTTTCGCAGTTTAACTTCTGATTTTTATGTCCTATTCATTTCCTGTGTTAAAAGAAAAGCAAACTCCACTGTCGAACAGCGAAAGTGTAAAAGTCACTAAAATGGTGATTGACTTCTAGTTTTGAAAATGGAGTTATTTTTCAGGTTTCGGTGCAAAATAAAAAAAACTATTGATCCAGTGTTCTCAAATTGAGTTATTGTTATCAAAAAGCACCCATCATCAAATGTTTGAAATTCAAAGAGCTTAAACATGTGTTTTGTTTATTTAAACTTCTGAAGTTTTTTTTGTTTCCTTGCGTTATTACTCTTTTACAACGGTCAGTTAGCTATGTTATCACTAGTGAGCTTGCGAGCCTTAGTCTATTAGCACAAACTTTTTTGTTTCTACCTAACCCGAAAGCTTTCACTTATTTGGTGGCACTTTTGCTATAATCACAATCTAGCATTGGAAATTTCATAGCATTTGTTCTCTGGCTTGTTTGGCTAGTGTTTGTAATTTATTAAGCGTCAGTGGCTGAGAGGTTAGTGCGTGAGAGACTCATAATCTCTTAGTCGCAGATCGAAGTAGCCAAATTTTTACTAATTCGAGGTTTTTCTATTAATTATTATAGAGCTTTTTGTGTTTACGAAGCGCAGCTCTACCGAGACCAGCCCCTACCTAAAAGTTAGTATGGTTAGTACAGAAAAACTAGTTTTGTTTGAGAAGTGCGGCGGTAAAGTTGAAGTTAAGTAGAAATTAATATAAGCTGTTGCATCGTTTTTCTCCAATAGCACAGTTTCTTTAAGAAAAAGGTGCTAGAAAATCTGAAAATTAAGCTGCTTCAAGGCGCAATTTTTGAAATATCAGCAGCATTCATCAATAACTCAAGTTTTATGTGTTTAAAAAAACCTTTTCTGATAATTTGAGCTGTCGAATTAATTCTGCAGTGCTTAAGAAGTTTTTTGTTGGCGGGTTGAAAACAACAAATTGTTCAGCAACTGGTTCATATGCATTCGTGAACATTAAACTGACATGAAATGTTAGAAAATGAAGGCTAAAGCCAACCTTTAGGCATTTAAGTTTATTTTTTGTTCGAATTGAATTTTTTTTAATACCATGTTTTTTCCTCATAATTGTGTAAAAGTTTTATGTTAAAATCACCTAAGATGCCTATTCAGACCACCTCAAAGTTTAAAGAAGTCGCAACTCTATTAATTGGTGGTACGGAAAATTAGTAGTGTAGAGTACCTAGTTGATTTTTGCCTAATGTGGTTGAAATGAAAGCAGCGCTCGTAATTTCCGTTAAGCAGAGCGCACATTATTTAAGTATATATTTTGGTGGTAAATAAACCCGCCGATGCATAAACCAGCTACCATACAACCCAGTCGAAAATGCGTAATTGTTACATAATAGTTATTGGGCAATTATATAACAGTTATGAAAATTATGTAAATTTGATTCATACGACGTTATTTTTTGGCTGGCTGGTATACTTTGGTTTCAAATGACGCAACTTTTTTACTAGCCTATATACAGCGCATTTGCGGTTGGTTTATACTTCGGCTGGTTTATGCACACTAATTTTTTTTGTTTTAACTTTTATTTAAGCAAAACTTTGATACAATTTGAAACTCGATTGCTTGAATATAAAAAAAACAATGAAGGAACTGGCAGCAAACAATTACGTTGAAACAGCCAGTAATTTCTGATTTTGCGATAGTTTTTAAGCAAGCGTGACAAACAAAAAAAGGCTTAACTGACAATTTTAGATCAGGTGTTGGGATGGGATTAAATTACAATACTCTTAAAATAAAATTGTTCTGTAGCTGTAAGTTTTCTGTTAAGATGAGCTTTTGGAATAATTTGATTGAAATACTTAGCTTAAATTTTCGAGAAATTAGTATACTAATTTTTATATTGATTGGCTAGCATAGTAAGAAACAAAGTTTTTTGAGATGAGAGCAGAACCATTTTTATTTAAAATTAAGTGATAGGCTTTACTTTAAGTTAACCTTCGTCAAGACTTCTGTAAGACTTGAAAATGTTAGCTAAGAATAAAATCGTCAGTAACAGCTGTTACATATCATAACTTTCAAAATGCTAGACTTAGTCGGCCTGGCAATTTAAGTCCATAAAAACTAATTTTTCAAGTTTGTTTTTGTCTGAAGGAGTCTTCGTTTCTCTGATTAAACTCTTAACTAGGGCGGCTTTTACAATTTCAAAAAAATGGTTCATTACAAGGCCAAACTGTGCGTTTTGTGAATTGTAAGCGGATTCCGCAACAGGCAAAAATCAGATTTGTTGTGAAATCCGCAACAATGCTATTTTTCTTCGATCTTCTTTGCTGTTTTGCATTCCACGGACAAATAGCTAAAACACCGTATTGATCGAAACTTTGGAACTATTTTGAGGAATTTTTGAACAAATAATGATATATGTGTTTAGTAAATCTGAGGTGTCGCAAAATCCGCAACTGCTGGTGGAATCCGCAAGCTGTAAGCGGATTCTGTAATGTGTAAGCGGAATTCGCAAATTCTATGCGGAATCCGCATAAACTTGCGGAATCCGCATAAACTTGCGGAATCCACTTACATTTGCGAAATCCGCCTACATTTGCTGAATCCGGAACAATTATCCATAACCACTCGTTGAGGAAATTGCAACAAAATCAATGTGGCGACAACATTTAGGTTACAGGTATTTGTACGCGTAATCCACAGAAATTTTGAAAGTGGAATTAATTTACATCTTGGAACATATTTAAATACTTGTCCCTGGAATCCAGGAACATACAGACACAAAATTGTGCGCCTATCCAGTGCACAGTTTGGCCTCGTAATGTTAAAATTTTTGTGTGCTCTGCTCGGCGTTTATATTTTGAATCAACAAATTGGGGATTTTTCTGTAATACGGTCCAAAACTGATATTTTTGGTAACTCAAACACTAATTCTAAGTGCTCTGATTGTTTGAAAAAAACTCCAGCTAAAAATGAGAATTTTAATTGAAAATGGAAGCTCAGTTAATAATTTTGAGCGGTTTAACAGAAAAGGCCAAAATTTTGATTTACAAAGACTTTTCAAAAATTGAAGCAACAGCAATCAAATGATGCATTCATTAAGCTTACTCAACTGCCATGATACACATAAAGATGGCGAGCGTAATCTTATATTGTAGGAAACTTTTTTCTTACACAAATCTCAAATAAAAGTGCTAATTTTTGTCGCATATGATTGGGAATTAGATAGCACATGTTGTATCTGATTTATTGAGGGCTATTAATTAACACCTGTTAAGCCACCAGGCGCAGCTGCAAAGACGTCAAACTTCTAATCTCGTGATCAAAAGCTTGGCTGCAGCTCATATCGGAAGTTTTATTCTTCATGGCCTAATAATTTGTTCCTTATTATTTTTTTTATTTTTTTTTTCATTTTTTGCCGTTTTTTTTATTTTGCTGAAAAAGTACAGCTTTATCTTTTAATTGATTTGCAATTGTGAAAAAAAGCCATAAAAATTGTGTTTTTATTCAACTGAACAACCACATTTGGAATGACAAAAGATTTTTATATAAAGGTTTTTTTTTCTATCTTAAAATTTTTCTTGAGTTCGAATATGTTTGAAAATTTTTCAAATTAATGATTCGAAAGAAATTGAAAACGAAGCTGCAACAGCTTACCATTAAATTTACTCAATAGAAATTGTAGATGTTTAAAAAATAATAAATTTGAAAATTTGAAAAAAGTGAAAAGTATAGAAAATCAGGGGCGGATCTAGAACTTACTCGAGGTGGCGGATTTTTAAAAAGTTTTCGAAATTTTGGTCGACATTTTTTTAAAGTCAACCAAATCGATTTTCCGAGCTCTCCCGAAGCGCGCCTGATTTCAAGAACGCCTGTTTTCGCCAAACCTTCTGAGCTGCAGTCGAAATTTTGAAAATACAGGCCAAAAAGACGTTTTTTAGTCACTTTTTGGAAAACTTTGGGCGCGCGCTCCTCCAATTAATATAAATTGGCGCCCTGAAGACCAAAAAGGGATGTCTCAAAATAGTACAAAAGGGGGTTGGACCCCTAAATCCACCCCTGATGAAAATATTAAGTTTTCATCCGTCAGTTTCAATGAATTTCTGATATTATTAAACCCCATTTTACTGTTTCTCAAATTGTAATTGCCCAGTCTACCAAAAAAGGTTGACGATTAATTGGCCAAACAAACGAATGGTAATGATTCCTAAATCTTTTTTTTTTGGCCAAATTTTCTGTTATTTTGTTCATAGAAATTTTTCCCCTTTCTTTTTAAAAAAAAAACAACATTGTAATCGTAATGGAGCGAATTAGAGCAAGCAACTGCTAATTGCTTCTTCCTTGTTGCGAATTGTCGCTTTTTTTTAAAAAAAAAAGTAGCTGTTGTCGCTTACGACCAGATGTCGCATTCTAAAAATTGTCGGCTAGCCTCACATTTTGAATTCAGAAAAACTGAAAGCTATAGATTCAGCAAACGATTTTCTTAAAGAACAAAAAAGAAAGATTTGCAGTTATTATACCCAACTTGCTCAAACTATTCTACATTTCGCTAATATTTTATTACTTTTCTTATTAGTTATTTCGCTGTTTCAATTCGAGGAGCAGCTTTGTAATGAAGTATAAGTTATGACTAGTCTGTGAACATGGATGGTCCTCTCACTGCCGTCTGCAGATATTTGACGGGCTGTCCTGGCTTGTAGCAGTGCTTGTACATATTCCTCTGCGTCTGAATGGCGTTGTAGAACTCGTTCGTGTTTCTCTCCTTGATTCTCTCCACGTTGAATCTCAGGTGAGTCTGACTAGTCACGTGACACTCTTTGTGCATGCAGTCAAGAAGACCCTTGACCTGAAAAGAAACAACAAATACTCATTAAAACTATCATCTTCTTAATTAAAACGAGTAAAATTAGGCTCTTTTTCTAGTTCCCCCTCCTTTCAAAATATTTAGTTTTTTGTTTGTTTTACGTGTTATTTATTACGGCTAAATGCGTGATGTTTTCCTATAAAGTATGAAGAACAAATCTGTTCATAGTTGTCGATTTGTTCACCACGCCAAAATTCATTGCATTATGACAACGTGAAATAAGCTTTTCAAAATTGAATTTGAAAGGGGGGAACTGGCAAAGAGCTTACATTTAAAACACTTAAACAGTTGGTAGAGCTTTGGTTTTCTGTCAGATAAAAGGACCACGTTTGATGCAATCAAACTACCATAAAATTTGGGGGAAATTTAAATTGAAATATTGAAAATTTGAAATTTGAAAAAAGTTGAATTTTGTATCTTTGGCTCTTTTCTACACCCCCACACCTGTCAATTTTTCTTGTTTTTACTGTTGTTTCACGTGCAATTATGGCTAACGGAGTGCAGTTACGATGAAGGGTTTGAACAACAAACATGTTCACAATTGTTATTTCACTCGCCATGCCAAGTGTCCATTGCGTTAAGGCAACGTTCAAGTAGTTTTTAAAAACTGAAATTGAAATGTGAGGGGGCTTGGAAAAGAGCAGTATGTTTGAATGCCTTTCGGTCCCTCTTACGCAGCTGTGTTTGTGGTCGTGGTCCTGTGGAATGTACCACCCCTTCTCCTCTGGTGGCTCCTTCCCTATCTCTCTGCTCCTGTGATTCTTCAGGTACTTCATCGTGTGGTCAGGGAAAGTGTGTCCTGTATCGTTGAATGAGTGAACGGAATTGATTTGCTAGCCCGCAATTAGAATAATCGAATGAAGAGAGTTTCAACAAGTTGGAACAGTCACAATTAATTAAAAACAGCAAGTAACATGATTCAGAAAAATTTTGCATGCCAAAACCAACCCGGGTCGATGTTCGCGATTTATAATTCGACCGAGGCAGGTCGAACACATGTCAGTGGCGAACAAATCGAAAACTGTGAACTGATTTTTTCTTCATACTTTGTAGCGTAGCATCACGCATTTAGCCGTAATGACACGTAAAACAAACATAAAACTCGGCATTTTGAAGGGGCGGAAATTGGAAAAGAGCCAAAATACTCAATTTTTTGTGCAAATTTGCCTGAAAATACACAAATTGGCTCTTTTTCTTTTTTCCTTCCAACATTCTCAATTAAATTATTGTTCGCATTATCCGGTTGTTATGAAAATTGACATGCGGAATGAAGAGCCGACAGATTGCTTTTTAAATTAATTCTGTATGTTCCAACTTTTTGCAACTTTTTATAACTAGAAAGTCCATTTCGAATAAGAAGAAGAAAAACCTCATGAGGGGTGGATATTCGAACAATGAAATTACCTTTACAAAAATCAAATAGGGATGAGCCTAATCTACCATGAGGCCATCATAGTAAAGACTCTTTGGAAACCCTCCCCCCCCTCCTCACCTCGAGAGCATTCTAGATCCACCCCTGGTACAGAGTCAAAAAATCCAGAAACACTTTTTTGTAATTTTCATTGCTGGTGACTCTAGTTTTTGAGTTGAGCTGATTGAAATACAGTTTTTCTAGGAAGCTAAGCAATTTTGGTTTGTTTTTGTAAGAACCGAAAAAAGCAAAAAGCAATACGAACCTTGGTCGAACTTGATAGTGGGCACATATCCGGCGTATTTTGGGATGTGTTTGGTTCCCTCGTGGATGGGCAGTCCCCTTATATGGGCATTGCACTCCACCGGCTCAGCCAGGAAGTCACCGAGGATCTTCGGGGGTCGCATGCTAAGTGGAATAATTACAATCTGCTTCTTTTTAGGTCACTTCCTGTAACTATTATACTAGTAGAGAACTCTTTTTCAACAAAAAAATGTCTCAGTTTTGTGAGAAAATTTTGGTTGAAGCCTCTAGTTTATATCTGAATGAACAAAAACATCTTACTTATGAAAACATATCGTTTATTCTGGTCATTGTTTTTAGCAGGTATATGTTAGATTAATAGCAAGGGCGCGAGCGACTGGTTACAGTGTGCTCATCGATCAAAAAAAACTATAAGAAAAATTGTGTAATGAGCCGGGTTACGTGTAATCTATAACTAAGGCAAGTTTTTAATTTTTGGGTCGAGGTTTTTTCTTGATATCATTTTGAAGCATAAAATTCATTCAGGACTCGAAGAATGATTCACACTATCGCTGAATTCAGGCAAATGAGTTTGACATAAAAAGAGCCATACCTTTTTTGATCGATAAAACAAGCGATTGATGAAAAATAGACTTTGTTGGTTTGATAAACAAAAATATTGAGTTTTGAACGAGCACTTAACGGAGCACGTGCTATGTTATCGTTATTGTGTATCAAGTATATATCAGTTTTTTAGTGCAGTCAAATAAATGGCAATAATATTCTGGGATAACAGCTTGCTTCAGTAGCGGAATTGGTTCTTTTCCAATTCCCCCCCCCCCCCACATTTGTATTTTAAGTTTGAAAAACTACTTTAACATTCATTGTTACAATGTGATGAAATTTTGGTTGATGAACAAACAAACAATTATGAAAAGATTTGTTCTTCATACATTATATCGTAACATCACGCATTTAGCCGTTATAACAAGTAAAACAACTATGAAAATGAAAAAATTCGAAAGTGGGCGAAGAGTGGAAAAGAGGCGCGGATTTAAGGGGGGCCCCTGCCACCTCTAAAGTTCCCTTCTTTCTTTTACTTCGAGAGATCCATTTTCGGCTGACTGACCTTAACAGTTTTCTAGAGGCGCCTTTGGCGCCAATATATACTAACTTTGAGAGGAATGCGCTGAAAATTTCCAAAAGCGCCTAAAACGACTCTTTCGGCCGTTTTTTTCTAAAATTTGCCAGCGGTGCTGAAAATTTGGTCAAAATAGGGTCTTTATAGTGATTTGGAGACCTCAGAAAAGCAATTTGGTTGACCGATCTAAAAACAGCCAAAACAGTTTCGAATTTTTTAGTAAATCACCGCCCCCTTCCTCGTGAAAATCTAAAGTGATAGATTGATTTGTTTTTTTTTCTGGAAAATTAAAAAAACCGAAACGAAAGCGAAGTGCCACCTCTATAGTGTCGGACAATACCTCAACGGTCAGTGAGCATTAGACAATATACCCTTTCCCGGCAAGCATTGAACAACAAATTCTCACCCTTGAACAACAAATTTCTCTCCGCTTTTTTTCTAACTAACATTGTAAGAAATGAAAGCAATAAGTTAATAAAACAAACATCTCCTCCTATTGGTAAAAATTAACATTAGATGAACAGTTGTGCATAACTTTTAACCTTGTCTATTTAATCATCCCTTTTAATTTTTCTGTTTTTATAATTGTCATTTAAACTCTAGGATCAGATTTAACGGAGACTTATAATGTTAGTTCCTAATTGAATATTTTCACTAATTTCTCTTAGAAAAGTATTTTAAGTATTTTTTCAATTCTTACTTTGTTTCTTATTTTATTTGTACATTTAAGAGCTCTGATTCTCTTTAACCTCAGTTTTTACCTCTTGCTTGAAGTTTTTTTTGTCGCAAACGGTTTTAAATTTTGTTTCGATGGCCTTATGTTCTTGAATTGCGTGGTTTAAATGGCGGTGTGCTTGTGCTTTGGAGTTAAAAAAACACTTAAAGTTTAAAAATTGTCTAAGCTCCAAAAATAATTTCGAGCATTTTTTTTGGCTCACCTGGCGTCTGCCTAATTTTTTGGACCTAATAACTGCTATAAAAATTTTGTGTGGATTCTCAGTTCACACTGAGAACTTTTTTTTCGAAATGTTTTCTTCAAACTTTGACAGACTTTTAAAACAAAAATACTCATTTTGATACCAAAAAAAATTTCATATTCTTTTCAAATTTTATGCACAGAGACTTAGGACAAGTGATGATACATCTCAATTGTTAGATGTTCATCAAACCGCCATATCTTGAAGCCGAAATTACATCCGAATTACGTAAATTACATCAGAATTACGTAAAAATTGCATAACAACAGTGACAATATGTTGTTACGTTGCATAGCAATGCTACCGTTAGGCTTGTTGGCATGGTAATCCTATTTTCGGTTTGTTTGTCCTTCGGTTTGTTGGCCTACCTACAGCTCATTCCTAGCATTGAATGCTAAATTTAAGAAAATGATGACTAGATTTTCATGCGATGTCAAAATGTATCGTAAGTGGTGCGAACCCTTGCTCGGTATCTGTGAGCAAAATTGAAAAAAAAACTTTTTCTTGTAACGAAGCAAATTTAGTGTTATGTAGGATTGTCGAACAATGTCCGGTAAATTTAAACAAAATTGATTGATGACCGGCATAGAAGACGAAGTCGAACCCCGACCTTGTTTGTTCAACAAGGTCGAAACCGGGCATCGTTCGACTGTAGAAATTGAAAACAAATATCAATCGATGGTGTGATAGTTATGAGTACCTGCATCTGGGATAAAAAAAACCAAAATTCCTGAAACAGAAAATAACCTCATATATTTGTTATTTAGAAATCACCACGGCAAACCAATGAAACTCAATCTACGAAAATTGTTATATATTCAGGGGCGGATCTAGGATTTTCTCGAGGTTGTGACGACCTTTTTTTTAGGTTGACCAAATTGATTTTCCGAGCTTCCCCTTAGCACTAAAAAGACTCTGTTTTGGCCAAATTTTCGGCGCCGTTTTTGGGTTTTTGGGCACTTTTAGGAAAATTTTGACAAAAAAATCGCGTTTTTTTTTGGCGCGCGCTCCCCCTTAAAAATAGTATACATTAGCGCCGAAGGCGCTTTTCGAAAAGTTATAGCGTCGGTCGGCCAAAAATGAATTTCTTAATAAAGTAGCAAAGGGGGGTCCCTTTATGTTGGCGGGGGGTCGAATCCCTAAAGGAACGTCCAGTTTTTCGAAACAGTTAGGCCGTTCCTATCAACATGAAAATCTTAAAATTGAAGTGCTTATAGATTTTTACTGGGGAAATTTTTTTAAAATCGAGTCAAGCCTTGAAAAATTAGTAAGAAATGATTTGTAGCTCCATTGCTTGTGTCAACGGTTTAAAAATTAATGTTGTATCTTGAGCATTCCAAATCAAATTGAAATTTCATGTTTCAAGGTTTGAATTATTTCTCGAAAACGAAAACTTCAATCTGTTTCAATTAAGTCCTTCAAATCATTTTGAACAGCTTCAAAAAAAATGAAATAATGTGCTAACATTAAAATGCAGCATACAAAACTGAATATTCGAAGCTTCAAGGTTTGCATTAGTTACCTGAACATGTAACTTGTTGCAATACGTTACAGTCGTTCAAAAACCAAATATAAATTTTTCTAACCTTTAATAGCTTGATGCAAGGGTTTTTGGTGCAAAGATTGCTCTTGCTTTTTTGAAATTTTGGTTTTGAAAATTATTAAATATTTTTTGGTTGATAGCTTGCTACACGTTCTTGATTGGAATCAAGTCTCCAAAAAAACTTAAACTACATCAAAAACTCATCGCATAGATGGAAATCATTGCAACAAAAATTTGAAGTTCAAATAAAATAAATTAGAGCTTTCAAAATCCACTTCAAATTTTCAAAGTTGATAGTCTGACAAGTTCTTAAATTTTAGAATTATGCGAGCCAGATCAAGCAATTAAAATAACTTGATTTCTAACGATGTTTTGTGATACAGTTCCTTGCTTTAAAAACTAACTCTTTCCAATCAAATTAAACGTTTGAAATCAAAATGAAAGAATTGAAAAATTTCCAAATGTTGGCAAATCAATTATTAAAATAGTTCAAATAAAATAAAATAAAACGAAATGAAATTTTTTTTTTTATTTGAAAATTTTTCTATAAAAATCATCCCCCTCACACGCCATATAAAATACAAATAGATAGATCTCGCTTCTTGTAACAAATCAATTATGGCAAATAAGCCATTTTCAACCAATTTGGAACGATTTCTAGCACTGAACAACTCTCCGCTTAGGCGTTAATAGCGCAAAATATATCGCGCGTTAATTGTCCCAAATTGGCCAAAATGCCAATCATTAAACCCCCGTAATTTTACAAAAAATGATCACAGGTGAAATATCCTTTCAAATTTGAGCTCAGGACAAATGTGAGCTTTGAATGATATAAAAAAATTCCGTCAAAAAAGACTAGTTAAAAAGACGAAATTTCGAAATTTGTCTGAAGAAAAAACCCACCCCGAGCACAAATATTTCATTACTTTCGTATCGAAAGTCGGAACAATAACTAGACAACTACTTCAAGCTTTTTGGCAAAGATTTTTTCATTATGTGCATGCCTAAGATAGTATTTATACGGATCATTTCAATCCGTGCGATCCAGACAGAACATTTCAAAAAGCATCAGGTAAAACTGCCTGCTTAAAATTTGTGTTGTTGACTAAATCATGCTCTAAATATCCCCTCGAATCTACTTAACAATCTCCCCTTTTCACTTGCAGCTAGTTTTCGACCAATCAGAATGCAGCAAAATTCAATTTTACATACAACGCTCCGCTATAGTGCGAATTTACTGTTTATATTTACAGGAGTGGAGATTCATTAGTAGATATAATAGGGGGGGGGGGGGGGGGAGGGATTGTTAAGTAGATCCATCCGCTCAAATATCTCGAACTTGAAATGCTTGATTGCCTTCTGGATTTTTTTAAAATTTGAAAACCATCTCAAACCTTCAAATTCATTTTAAATTTTTTTGGTGCTCTATCAGTTTGCTTTTAACTTTGTTTTGAAGCCACGAAACAAAATTCAAAATTTAAAATTCTCAAAATTGCATTGCATAACCTGATTCCTTGAAGATACAAATTCTTTATAATTAAAAAAAAACTTTTCGCGAGCTTGCTAGCTGAGGGTATGTAACTCTCCACACAATTCAGAGCCGGTTGCCGTCGCCAATCGGCAACACGCGCTCAGCGCGCAAAATGTCGACCACAAATGACATTTTACAAATAAATTTCTAAACACGCTATTTGTCGCTGTCCTTTAGTTTCGTTGCAAGTTGTCGCGGCTCCTCACGAACTATAATCAATATTTGCCCAAATTTCATTGTTGATTAACATAAGACCTTAAGCAACATACTTGGCTTCAGGTTTGACAAGTGTTTATCATATCTTTCATCATGAAAAAAAAAATGCTTATCATACAGTTTCAAACAATTTCATTGGCAAAAAAATGTATAAAAGGAGCAAAATAATCATTTCTCCCATACCATGAAATTTTATACTAAGTATTTTCTGCCACCCTCTGGAATTAAATAAATTGTTTTTACAGTTTTTTTTATCAAAAGCAAAAGCAATTTTTCACACTAAGAAATTGTATGATACATGTTTTGTGTTGCCAAAGTTGCTCTCATGACTAA